TCGTTTGACCCCAGTGCTCTTCCTGCCATGGCAGGGGGTCGGACTAGATGATCTGCTCAGGTCCCTTCCGACCCTAGAAACTATGAAACTAACTATAAGTGTACGGGTGCTATAATGAAAATTGCTACAGCCATGTTTAATTTTAAGGTTACTGTTTTTAAATTTGCTCCTCACTTGCATGTGTTGAGGAAAAAGAGTCAAGGAGAGTGGGAAGGGGCTGCACGGGGAAAAAACTGGAGGGAAGCAAAGCAAAGGGCTACCTGATCCCCCTCTCCTCCCCCACTGGTTTATTTTCCTTGCTGTAGCAGGGTGGGGGGGTAAATTCAAGGCAAACCTCCAATAATTTGATTTTATACCTAGATAATTATAACAAATGTTTACATTTTCCATATATAGAATCTACTGAGAGGTCATCTTATTATTCAGGGTAGTCTTCTATTCAAGTAAATGGGGTAAACTGCTATGGAAAAGCGTTTTAAATAGGAAAAATAAGTAACATTATCACTGCTATTAAATGCCACTAATAAGTGTTCACTGTCCAGGTAAAGTTATCTCTGCATCAAGTTTTGGCAGCAAATTAAAAAAATCTGCAACCCCTATTCAGACCCTGTTTTTTATTTCTAACATTCCTAGCTCTCAATAACTTTTGAGATCCTGGACTTGTGGTTATAGAGAGTTTATTTCCCCTCCCCACCCCAGCAATTAGTGAAATTCCTTAACTACCAACAAGAATGAAATATTGACAAGCAGTCCTGCTTCCAGTTACTACCATCATGTAGGGACAAGCAGGTGTGGAATCACAAACAAGCCCTTGTAACTTCAAATGGAGTCCAACCGGGTTGGGAAGGCTAAAACTCCAGAGCTCAGTGATTTGCAAGGAAAAAGACTAAATGTTGGGAAAATAGCCATCACCACCTCTAGTGATAGAGGTCTGTTGCAAATAGTCCTCCAAGTGCTTTGGTAAGACCCTCAGAGTTCATTAAATCACAGGCAAGTTGCAGGTTGCAGCTACCAGCGGTGGTTCCAAATCACTAGTTGCCCCACTTCAGTATTTTTCCATCCTGTCCATGAGGGAGTGGTGGAGATAATGAACACCTTTTTTCAAGTGAAGACCAGACTAGAAGAAATGTTATCCTCCAATTCCCTTGAACAAACAGGTGAAGAACTGTTTGTGTTCCTTGCCAAAAAAGAAAGAAGTGGAGAGTAGGGGAGTGGGGTAGGGGGCTACAGGAAGAAATAGAGTGCCTATCTCCCTATCAAAGCATCAGGGATGCACAAATGGGTTTCTCTCTCT